TGAACCTCATACAGTTAAACTGAGAGGAGCCACAGTGATTTAATTTGGGTTTAATATTAAGCTATGACAAATACATCAGCTTTGAATCTATCTATCTATCTACCTACCTACCTACCTACCGTGGGGCAAAAAAGTATTTAGTCAGCCACCAATTGTGCAAGTTCTCCCACTTAAAAAGATGAGAGAGACCTGTAATTTTCATCATAAATTACAGGCCTCTCTCATCTTTTTAAGTGGGAGAAATTACAGGCCTCTCTCATCTTTTTAAGTGGGAGAAATTACAGGCCTCTCTCATCTTTTTAAGTGGGAGAAATTACAGGCCTCTCTCATCTTTTTAAGTGGGAGAAATTACAGGCCTCTCTCATCTTTTTAAGTGGGAGAAATTACAGGCCTCTCTCATCTTTTTAAGTGGGAGAAATTACAGGCCTCTCTCATCTTTTTAAGTGGGAGAAATTACAGGCCTCTCTCATCTTTTTAAGTGGGAGAAATTACAGGCCTCTCTCATCTTTTTAAGTGGGAGAAATTACAGGCCTCTCTCATCTTTTTAAGTGGGAGAAATTACAGGCCTCTCTCATCTTTTTAAGTGGGAGAAATTACAGGCCTCTCTCATCTTTTTAAGTGGGAGAAATTACAGGCCTCTCTCATCTTTTTAAGTGGGAGAAATTACAGGCCTCTCTCATCTTTTTAAGTGGGAGAAATTACAGGCCTCTCTCATCTTTTTAAGTGGGAGAAATTACAGGCCTCTCTCATCTTTTTAAGTGGGAGAATTTGCACAATTGGTGGCTGACTAAATGCTTTTTTGCCCCACTGTATTTATCAAATTTATATGGCCGCCCATCTCACAAAAAGTGATTCTGGGTGGCATACAACAATTAATTAAAACAATAAACATATAAAACAATCATCATTAAAAATATAAAATATAAAAACCACAAGGCAAAAGAGAAAGTGACTATTAACTGCAATAATTGAGTCATCTTAGGGTTTCACTGGTCCTCAGGCCTGATGACTTGGCAGGTCTTGAGGGACCTCTGGAACATAAACAGGGATGGAGCTAACCTCATTTCAGGGGGGAGAATATTCCATAAGGTGGGCACCGCAGCAGAGAAGGCCCGCCTCCTGGGACCTGCCAATTGTAGTTCTGTAGCAGACAGGACCCACAGCATGCCTTTTCTACCAGATCTGATGGGGCAGGCAGATATAATTGGAGAGAGGCAGTCCCTCAAATAACCTGGTCCCATGCCATGAAGGGCTTTAAAGGTTAAAACCAGCACCTTGAAATGGACCTGGAAGCAAACTGGCAACCAATGCAGATCACGGAGCAGAGGTGTAACAGGTACTATTCTAGAAGCACACATAACTGCCCCCACCATTACATTCTGCAGCAGCTGAAGTTTCTGGATACTCTTCAAGAGCAGCCCCATTTAGAGCACATTACAATTGTCCAATTGGGAGATAACTAGGGCATGAGTGACTATGAGCAGAGCCTCCTGATCCAGGAATGAGTGCAACTGGTGCACAACATGAAGCTGTGTAAAGGACCTCCTAGCTACGACTGTCACCTGCTCTTAGAGCAAGAGTTGTGAGTCCAGGAGGAGCACAGAGTGTGTACCAGGTCTGTCTGGGGCAGTGCAACCCCATCCAGCACCAAAGATGGTATAGCCCTAGATCTGGCAGGCCCCCAAACCCAAAGTCACTCAGCCTTGCCAGGGTTCAATTGAAACCTGTTGTTCCCCATCCAGACCCTCATAGCCTCCAGGATAGGCACCGGGATAGGATGTTTAGCATCACTTAATTTGCCAGAGGCAGATATATATAGTTGGGTCATATATTCATCATACTGATGGGTCATAGTCATCATACCTCACCCCATGGCAATGGATGAGCTCACACAGTGGCTTCATGTAGATGCTGAATAGAAGCGGAGAGAGCACCGAACCCTGCAGCACCCCACATAGTAGGGGCCAAAGGTGGGATCTCTTTTCCCTGATCACCACTGACTGGAATTGACCCTGGAGAAAGGAGATGAACCAGCACAACACTGTGCTGTCTGCCCACAATCCTCTGAGCCAATTCAGAAGGATACCATGGTTGATGGCATCAAAAGCTGCTGAAAAGTAAGTAGGGGAAGGATGGATGCACCACCCCCATCCCGCCCACGCCAGAGATCATCCAAAAGTGTAACCAATGCCGTTCCCATCCCATACCCTGGTCTGAATCCTGATTGAAAAGGATCCAGATAATCCACTTCATCCAGGGTCCTCTCAAGTTGCTGCGCAACCACCTTCTCAACCACCTTCCCCAAAAAGTGGAGGTTGGATACTGGACGAAAATTGTCCAGTATAGTGGGGTCCAGCAATGACCTCTATATTCATATGTTTCCATTCTTCTCTGGGGTAACTGTGAGGTTACTGGAAAAAAAGTTTCTATTTTCAGTCAATAGATCATATCCATATGAT